GAGAGGGGATATGGGGAGATATATATATATATATATATATATATACACACACACACACACACACCACACACACAACACACACGTATGGCTGGTTCGCTTTGTCATACAGCAGAAGCTGACACACCATTGTGAAGCAATTATACTCCAATAAAGATGTTAAAAAAAAATGGCCTTTTTCCTGCTAGTACTAAAACTTAAGCCCATATCTGTTTGCATCCCAAAGGCTACCATTTGTTAAGCATTTACTGTGATCCAGGTGTTGTCCATAGCTTCTTGAATAGGTTACCGTATATAAGCCTTGTAACAGTCTCATTGTACAGCTGAGGAAATAAGCTGGAGGACCATAGACAATCTCTCCAAGGTCGCATAGCTGGTAATAAATGGAAGAACTGAGATTCTAGCCATGTCTGTTTGACTCCAGAGCCCATCTGGTTTCTCATAAAGTGTTCTTGGTTTCAGGAAAAATTTGATTTAAGATGATTTAAGGTAACCTACCAAAAGAATAGAAAACTATATCTTTAAAAGCAGTAAAAGAAATAATGTGGAATTTTATTTAAAAGCAGGGCATGGGGGTTGGGGAAAACATAGAGAAAATAGTAAATAGTACCAAAACAAAGAGGCAAAACCAAATCCAATATCAGTAATTATAATAAATCTAAATAGATCAAAGTAACCAGTTGAAAACAAATCAAAAGATTGGGTTATGCTGTTGATGAGCAACGCACTTAAACGTAAGGGGTATAGAAAAATATGGATGTAAAGGGATAGTAAACTATATCCAGGAAAATATTAACTAAAGTAAAACTGGCAAAGCTAAATTAATATTGGACAAAATTAACTTTATTGCAGAAAATATTATTAATATTTTATGATAAAAGTATATAAAATTCAATTCTTTGTGTACCAGAGAACACAGTCTCAAAATATTCGTAGAACTGTCAGAAAAAATTGACAAATCCATCATGATAATGGGAAATTTCAACACACTTCTCATTGAGTCAAGCAGACATACACAAAATTAGTTAAGACCTAGAAAAATTGAGCAATACAGTTAACAGGTTTGATCTAATGGATATGTATGTGTATGTCTGCACCCAGCAATTAGTACATTTTCTTTTCAAGTACGTATGAAGTATTGTAGAAATCGATCATGTACTAGACCATAAGACAAGTTTTAACAAACCACAAAATGATGGTACCATACAGAAAGCTGTTCTCTGAGCTCAGTTTGATGTGCGTGACAAAAGATAAATATTCTGGGATCAAAGAAGAAGTCATAGGGAACTTAGAAAATACTCTGAACTGAATAATAGTGAAAACCAAGGCTTGTGTTAAAAGAAAGACTGAAAGGGACTCCCCTGGTGGTACAGTGGTTAAGAATGCTCCTGCCAATGCAGAGGACACGGGTTTGATCCCTGGTCCGGGAGGGTCCTACATGCCACAGAGCAGCTAAAGCCCATGCGCCACAACTACTGAGCCTGCGCACCTAGAGCCCATGCTCCGCAACAAGAGAAGCCACCACAGTAAGCCCACGCACTGCAACGAAGAGTAGCCCACGCTTGCTGCAACTGGAGAAAGCCCGTGTGCAGCAGCAAAGACCCTACGCAGCCAAAAATAAATAAATTAATTAATTAAAAATATTTTTAAGAAGACTGAAAATCAATAATCCAAGTTCTTACTAAAATTAGAAAATTGGTAACAGAATAAACACAAAGCAAACGAAGATCAGAGAAGAAAAAAATTTGAATGAAAAAATTACACACTAGAGTAGAGACTGACAAAGTCAAAAGTTGGTTCTTTGAAAAGAATAATAAAATAGATTAGCCTCTGGCAAGATTGTCTCCAGAAGGAAAAAATAAACAGTATAGGAATGAAAAGGAACACATAACTCTAGATATGGCAGAAATTAAAAACGATTGGAAAATTCTGTGAAAAATTTTATACTTTTCAAGTAAAAAATTTAAACAAAACAGGCAGTTTCCTTAAAAATATAATATTGTCCAAAATGACACAAAAATAGGAAACCTGAATAGACTAATAACTATCATAAGTAGTTGTTAAGACTAACCCTGAAAAACCACAAATATTTTTTAAAAAACCAAACCAAAAACCTAAAAACAGGCCCATGATGACAGTTGGACAGCAAATTTACCAGATTTCCAAAGAACACCATGTTAACAGTTGTAAATTCCCCCCAAAAGTAGAATATGATAGAAGGTTCTCCTACTTATTTTATGAGAATAGTATAAACTTGATAACCCAAATCAGACAAGGACAGGATAAGAAAGAAAATTAAAAGGAACTCTCGTTTATGAATATAAATGCAAAATCCAAAAACATACTAGCAAACCAAATTCATCAATATAGATTGAAAGTAATGCCTTTCAACCAAATTGGATTTATGTTACGAATGCAAAGGAATATATGATTAGAAAATTTATGTATATAAGTTACCACATTAACAGAGGAAGAGGACCATATTAATAAGTTCTGTATTATTAATAATTTAAAATCAAAAGCAAAGAATAAATATTAGATAATATATTAAAATTAATAAGAATTTAGCTGGGTTTCCAGATATGAGCTCAACATATGAAAAACAGCTGCATTCATATCCCAGTACAAAAAATATATATAACTTTTTTTAGAATAAAAACATTAACAGCAACAGAAACTACAACAGGAATAAAGTATGTTGAGAATAAATCTTAAGATATTCAAGACTTTAAAACTTTATTGAAAGATATTATAGAAGGTTTAAAATAAATACAGGTACCTTTTTGTGGCTAGGAAAACTCAATGTCATAGAGATGTCACTTCACCCCAAATCTATGTAGTTAATGCTATTCCAGTCAAATCTCAACTAGTTTTTTCATGTAACTTGACAAGTTGATTCTTAAATATATACAGATAAAAGAACAAAGGGCCAAGAATAGTCGAGACACTCAAAAAGAAGAAAGCAATGCTAGGGGCAGGGAGCTTGTCCTGTACAAATTCACTATAGGACTATTAATTAAGATTGTGGAAAGGATATAGGTGGGTAAGTGGGAAAGAATAGAGTCCATAAACACTCATGCATATATGGAGAGACAGCATAACATGGAGGTTTAAGAGCATGGACTGTTGGGAGTCAGGATTCCTAAGGTTTGAATTCCAGCCCCTCTGTTAATTCACTGTGTCATCTTGGTCAAGTTACTTAATTTTTCTCTGCCTTAATCTGTAAAATGAGGCAATAGTACCAACTTCATAGAGTTGTTCTGAGTTTTTTTTTATCATCATCATTTATTTATTTATTTTTGGCTGCATCGGGCCTTAGTTGCGGCATGTGGGGTCTTTCGTTGCGGGGCACGGGGTCTTCGTTGTGGCTTGCAGTCTTCTCTCTGGTTGTGGTGTGCAGGTTTTCTCTCTCTGGTTGTAGCATGTGGGCTCCAGAGCACGTAGGCTCTGTAGTGAGGCATGCGGGCTCTGTAGTTGCGGTGCACGGGCTTAGTTGCCCTGCAGCATGTGGGATCTTAATTCCCTGACCAGGGATCGAACCTGTGTCCCCTGCATTGAAAGGCAGATTTTTTTTTTTTTTTTTTTTTTGGGGTACACGGGCCTCTCGCTGTTGTGGCCTCTCCCATTGCGGAGCACAGGCTCTGGACGCGCAGCCTCAGCAGCCATGGCTCACGGGCCCAGCCGCTCCGCGGCATGTGGGATCTTCCCAGACCGCGGGGAAGCCGAAAGGCAGATTCTTTACCATTGGACCACCAGGGAAGTCCCTCTTCTGAGGTTTTAAATGAGTTATTTTTAGAAAGTTCTGGCACATAATAGGTGCTATATAAGGTTTGTTTAACATGAATAAATGGAAAAATTGGTTTCCCAATTAGTTCATAAGAATGAACTATTCAGTGAATGGCACTGGGATCGATTGATATGTTATTGATATGAAAAAATACTGTTGTTGAGATGAAAAAATAATTGAATCCTATTTTACATTTGAAATAAGATTTCCAAATTAACTGCCCGTGGAAACTAAAATCTAAAGTGTTGGAAAGAATATAGAGAGATGTTCTTAACCTCATGGTAAGGAATTATTTGGGGGGGCTAAGATAACCTCCCCATAAAAAGTTAGAAGACAAGTTGATGAATTTGACTACATTAAAATTTAAAACTTTTTTTGCATCATGATACTGTGAAAAAGTTAAAAACTAGACCTCAGAGTGTTTTCATAACAACAAAGTTTTGCTATCTGAAACAGTACTCTCCTTCAGCAACTTTCTGTAATGCAGTTAGCTCATTGTAGTTGGTAAATGGTATAGAAGGGCAACAGTATGTATAATCACATCATACTGGTTCATATATAGTGTTTTTCAGCACATTAATGCTTTGCTCCATCAAATAAGAGCAAATATGGAAGCAAGCCATAGAAGAATGCAGTTAACTTTAAGGATGCCCATTCACCAAGTAGTCTCACACCCAGTTCAGTTAGGCTCTGGGATTTATTTTGGAAGTGCCTGTTTACTTCATAGTTCTCAAATTTTGTGCTTTGGCTTTTGTCTCCGTAACTCAAACAGTATCAGTCCTTCCTTAATCCTCTTTATATCAAGCTAACCTCACCCTTTTAAAAAAAATCCTAGATTTACAGAGGTATTTTATTTGTTTGGAAGGAACACAGCTTTGTTCCGGTTACAGGGTTGTATTATTTGAGTGGTCTGCCTTTAACCTGTTTTTTTTCTCTCATAAACCCTGTTATTTTTAGTGAATAGTTTTGTAGAAAGCAAGGTTCATCAAAAATGTGTATATTATGTTACAGCTGCAATAGCTGGATAATAACTTTTTATAAGTCTATAAGGAAAAGACAAATCAAAATAGAAAAATTGGCAAAAGTTGTTGACAGCCAGTTCACAAAAAGGAGCCGCAAGTGTCCAGTAAGCATACAAATGAGCCTTATTTATTAACAACTGCGAACCTCAAATTGACTGAAAAAAAGCCAGTAGAAAAAAGCATACCTTATAGTAGTGTTCAAATAAAATTTAAAACATGGAAACAGTACTATACGTTGTTTTGGAATACTCATATATATACTTTTAGAGTAAGAAAATGCCTAAGGAAGTAAAGCACCAAAATCAGGAGAGTGATTTTCTGCTGGATTTTGGAGAGAGGAATATAATATTTTAAATAACGTGGGTTGATAGCAACTTTTGTAAGAAGGACCTGGGATTTTAAATGGTTTCTTTGTCTAGATGAGCTGAAATCATGATTGTAAAATAAGAAGTACCCATTTTAGATCACAGAGGTGTACTATTCAGATGTATTGGGAATTGTTAACACATCTGGAGTATTTTGTTCATTTCTCAGTACTTTGTTGTAAGAGGTATTCTGGTAGACCAGAGGACGTCTAGAGCCAGGTGAGTCGAATAGAGAACAGGCCGAATGAAAAAAGTGTCATAAGCCAAATTGGGCATGTTTATTTAGACAGCAAAAGGACAACAGAAATTGTTTTAGATACTGAAAGAATGTCATATGGTTGAGATCTTTTGCCTGCTTTCCTTTTAAATTTATCCATCATTTTTACCTATCAAACCAACTGTCAGGATATGAGGTTGGATAAATATTAATTTTACCCTTCAATGTATTAGCCAAGCCTTCTAGCTTTGTGGCATATGCAAATTTGCAATGTGTCAACAGTGAGAATGTTGAACAGTTTAAAATCTGCTTGGGTAACTTCCTAGCTGTTGAGCAAGTTACTTAACCTTCTTAAGGCCTTGAGTTTATCATTAGAACGTTCTGCAGTGATGGAAATGTTATATATCTGTGCTAATAGAGTAGCCACTAGCCATGTGGCTGTTGAGCACTTGAAATGTGGCTAGTGTGACTGAGGAAGTGCATTTTTCTTTTATTTAATTTTAATTAATTTAAATTTAAATAGCCACATGTGGCTTGTGGCTTACTGCACTGGACAGTGCAGATCTACAATGATAATTATATATGCACCCTAATATTTAACTTCCTATAAAATCATGCAATAGTTTATAAATACAAATGGATGATGGTATATTTATTTGTATATATATATATGTATTGCAGGAAGGAAGGGATAGAATTTAAGTTTTCAATACTCACATCACATAAATATGGTCTTTTAAAATGTAATGCAGTATTGTCAAGAATTAAAGCTTGAAAGCTTTATCTGTGGCATGAACTGGTTAACATTTGCATAAATGAACAACTAGTTTGAAGAGAGAAATATCTGTCCAGATTTGTCCTTTAATTTTGAATATTGGTAAAGTGGTAGTTCTTTAGGTTCTCTTTTGGGAATGGTTGTTCTGTTTAAACTTTAAAGTACTTCATAGCATAATTTTGCAAAGATTCATTTCCCTAACTGCTTAGAATACTCAGAATGTAGTAAACATATTCTTATCTTTTATTTCTATATGCCAAATATGGTCATTAAAAATATTAAATTTTTTTCCACAGAGATATATTAATGTCAAGAAGTAAGCATTTTTATTATGACTGTTATGATATAAATAAACATAAGTGTTTCAATTTTTCTGGTTTTTTTCTTTTCTAGCTGCATAGATGAATGGTTTGAAGTAAATAGATCTTGCCCTGAGCACCCTTCAGATTAAGCATCAGCTTCCTGTTTTATAGGTAATTCTCCCATTTTCTGTTTTAATTGCTTTTTAAACTGTTACCTGAGTTATACATTCTCAACCACCGTTTTTATTCACTCATTTATTAAGGTGTGTGTGTGTGTGTGTATATGTGTTCCAGACATTGTATTAGGCTACTGTGTAGAAAACTCACATTAAAAGATACATAAAAACAACTTTCTTGATTTCCTGAAGAGAGTCATATATTAAGTAAACTCTACATTTTTGGTACTTTAAAACACTTTAGCTTATTTAATTTTAGTTTAATACTTTAAAAAAAACCCATGAAGTAAATATCATGACCCCATTTTACCAATGAGAAACCTGAGGGTCAGAGTAATTAAGTTCTATGACATTAAGAAGCATGTTGCACCAACAGTCCAAGGACATGTAGTTAGCAACAGAATCAAATTCCATACTCTTAACCATAACTTCCCAGGTATGTTTTTAGGTAATGCAATATAATATAATTCTAATCGTAATAATTAGCATTTATATTGCATTATTATGTGCCAGGGATTGGTCTAAGCATTTTACATCTATTTATAACTCATCTAATTGGTATAACAACCCTTTGAGCTCGGTACTCTTAACTACTCCCGTTATGCAGATGATGAGGAGATTAAGTTTTAGAGAGGGTAAGAAACTTGACTTGTCAAGGTCACATAGCTAGTTCCTTAGTAGAGGTGGGAATTGAATCAAAAGATTGTGTTCTTTGCTATTTTGCTATTATTAGATAGGAACAGTTTCTTGAGAAAGTTGCATTTGTATTCATTTGTTCAATTTAATCTTTCACTTTTGTATCCTACCTATACAGTAGACAAAAAAAAAATTGAATTGAATTTTAAACCAAATACAGAATTTGTTTTCCACTATTGTTGTAGCTTATTCATGATTCTGCATTTTCTGAAAATGTTTAGCAAATTGAAATGAAAACCTCACTTGAGTATTGCTATTTTTCATATTCCATCATTTAGCTTTGAAAAAATAGTTAACTTGATTGCCATCTTCATGTATATGAAAAGCTTTTTATCTTTATCATTTCAAAAATGATATAAAACATTGTGTTTTATATGAAGGCAGAATATTTTAGCCAATCTTGGACTTGCTTTGGAAGGAGTTAGAACCTCTGTGTTCAGAGACTCAAGATAGTCACAGACAACAATCTTTTCTCAGTGTCTAAGACCGGAGGCAGGAAACTAGAGCAGATAATACCTGAGATCTAGTCCTGTGCTGTTCCCCCATTTCCTTTTATTTCAATAACTCCTGGTCTTACATTTGAGGTGTTGAGATAATAAACACATTCAAGGAATTCTGTTCCCTCTTAATGAGGGTCATTTAATAGCAGCAGATTAGAATATTGACAAAATATATTTGAGATAACTTAATAGCAGTTATAGCAGCTGAAATAAGAGCTACAACATTGAGAGAGACCTCTGTCTTAATAACATTAGGGTTATGCCTGTGAAATGTGAAGGCCTGGGTAAACTGTATCAGCTTTTGAACCTTTTACTGTGAGATGATTCAGATCATACCTTGACACATTTGAGGTATGAATTGGGATTAGGTTGCTGTATAAGAGAAGTGTGGTGATGGAGTGGTATTTTGAGGATACATGCATGTATGTATGTTTTTATTTTACTGTGTAAAGTGTTTTTTGAAGAGGAGGATGCTTTGGAATGTCTTCAGGGTCACCTTACATCTGGGCCAATAAAGTAAAGCTATAGCTAAAATTTTAGAAGCTTTTTAAGTACTAAAAACCAATGCTATGGGCTTCCCTGGTGGCGCAGTGGTTGAGAGTCCGCCTGCCGATGCAGGGGACACAGGTTCGTGTCCTGGTCCGGGAAGATCCCACATGCCGCGGAGCGGCTAGGTGCATGAGCCATGGCCGCTGAGCCTGCGCGTCTGGAGCCTGTGCTCCGCAATGGGAGAGGCCACAACAGTGAGAGGCCCGTGTACCACAATGCTAATAAAATGAAATTTTTATCTTAGTATTCCACATATCAAAATAATATGTCTAAATCTTTCACCCATAGATAAAATCTATCTTTTTAGTCAATAAACTTTTTTGTGTGAAAATGGAATTTTATGATATAAAATATTTTATTACATGGTCTAATCAACTAAATTTTTCTTTTAGTGTCACAATGAGGTTATGGGATATGTGGAACATGCATCTCATCTCATGGTCAATATGCATGTCTGTTGGTTTTAAACAGTATTTCAGTTTCCTTACCCTATATATCAATGTTATCTTCTTATTCATTTTGTTTTTCATTGTGGAACCTGAGTTCAGTGGCAGCTGCCCTCAGAAATGTGAACCAGTGGAATCTTTCTCTATGGGTCTTGAAGAGTCATTTCTGAGAATGTGTAGACATGGAATATTTCAACTCTTTCACATTTTTGCTTTTGTTCTGACTACCCTTATTTGTCAGATGAAAAATTCTTCCTATCCCTTTTGCTGTCCTAGATTAAAAGTGTATGGGTTTGGGTGGGAGGGAGGCTCAAGAGGGAGGGGATATGGGGATATATGTATACATATAGCTGATTCACTTTGCTGTACAGCAGAAGCTAACACAACGTTGTAGAGCAATTATACTCCAATAAAAATGTATAAAGAAAATGTGTAGGTTTGAAGAGGATTCAGTGTTGTTAAAACTTTTTTTTTTTAAGGCAACATGTAAGTAGCACTTCTGATACTCTTCAGCATACGAATTTAGTAGTCAGCCCAAAACAGAGATACATGAATATCTAAGGTCTTGATTAGTTAGGAAATTGTTCACTATTTGTAATTCGAGGTTTTTAGTTACTTGGAGAGGGCTTAGTTAATTGTGTGTGTTTGTTTTCTGTAGTTTGGTGTAGTCTTTATTGTGGAGGGGGAACGACTGTTACTTAGTGGCTATTTTTTGTAACTATTTTAAGATTTAATTGGTCCTTCTGTGTCCTTGATTTGTTCTTTTGCAGAAAACAAATTTTAACAGTTTTTAAAATACTAAGTAAGTATGAAAATTTACAGTCTAAAGCAGTGTTTATGGGGAAATGGATGTTGTATTTTGATTTGTATTACTATCATGGACCGTTGCTTAAACTAAATGTATCCACTTTTTACACAGGTTTCCTTGTCTTTTCAAGATGCTTGAAAAACTGAGAGGATACGAAGATTTATCTCTGGAAAAGCAAAAACAAAAATGCAGGCACACAGCCAGAAATCTAAGTTCTGTGAGACTCAGTAATGCAGAGATGGACAATCATACAGGAAAAAAAAATCCTGCTGAGGAGAGGACAATTGTCACAGAACTCAGTGTACCAAACATGAATATAAAGGACACACAGGGATTTTGAAAATGCTGCACATCCCTTAATAGTCATCTACATAGGTAATACTGATGAACATTTTATATTCAGACACCAAAGTTAACTGATTTAAAAGTTGATTTACTTTTTAAGTTCTCTAGAGCTGTGGAACTAGTTGTTTTTAATTTGTTTTGGTTTTTAGTTTGGGGTCCCTTTATTTTCCCCAATATGATGTTCCTGCATTCATCTATTCTTAAATTGAAGACCACGTAATTTACTTCTTAAAAATTAAAGTCTTGAATGTGAAACCAAGAAATGTAATCAAGCAGTAAAACACTCTCTGAATGTAGACCATGATCTCAAGTTCTTTGATTTTTTTTTTTCCCCCAAGAGTGGAAAATAGACTTCTACATAGGAAAGCTAAAGTATGTTAATACTTTAAATTAAAGGTTTAACATTATCAGAATGCATTCCAAACAATAAAAAAAATCAAGTTACATAATTACATTTTAATTAATTAAATTTGGATTATCTACAGAATTGCAGTTTATTAAATATGTTTCCTTTTTAAATAAAACTGCTCAACAGTTAATCAGCAATGAATCATTTTGCAGCTATGCAACTTTAAAAAAGTACTAATTACCAATTTTAAGTGCTTCCAGCTACAGTAACTTTGTTTTAACGGGTATTTTTGTTTGTTCTTTTCATGTAATTATTTTATTGTGCTTTGCATCTCCGTGCAGTTTTCCTACATTTGGGTAAAATGTTTAGCAGGTTGTAAACTTAATAACTTATGAAAAGGGTAAAATAAAATTTTCTTGAGTGGAACTTGGAATAATTTGAGGGACATTTTTATATACTTTTAAAAATCAGAATTTAATTGGGATGCCAGATTTATAGCAATTTGCATCTTTAATTTTCCAGGTAATCTGGGGTTTAGCATTTGATAAATGATTTTTTAAAGCAAACATGAAGATTTTGTTAATTTATAATTTATTAATGTGTTATTACTGTCATTGAAAATGTTACAGAGACTTTTAAATTCAGTCTTGTTTAGAAAGAAATGTATTAAGCAAAATTATGTGAATAAATATTCCCACAAAATACATCTGAATGGTTAAAAAATACTGGAGGAGAGCTATCAGGGCTGCAACAGTGAGTGCCTTTTTTTTTTTTAATATCAAAAATACCGATAAATAGATTTCATGTCTTCAACATAGGGAAAATATTATCAGTGAACAATTTAAGCAGTGCACTTTACTCAGTATAATTGAGAGTTACACAGTACTGTTTCCTTATTTTAAGCTTTTTTTAATGTATTTGTTTGCTTTTCTGTTTATTGCTGCTATTCCTATCCTTCTCAGTTTTTTTTCTACTCTATTGCTTCTGTTTCACATTTTTTAAAAGGGCACGTACAGGAGCAACTGCTGCTACCCAGAAAAATATGTATGTTATAAACAATTAAAAGAGTTTTTCATTGCTTTCATTGTGATTCTAAACCAGGTAATGTTTTCCCTAAAGTTTTACTGTGAAATGTCTTTTGTTATGCTGCAGTTGATAGAAGAGTCCAAAACCTCCATTGTGACAGCTGACTGCACAGTTTCATAGGTGCTTTTTTTAACCAGTTATGGAAAATATTCTTCCCTCAAAGAAAATATTCTTTCCTTAAATTTTTTCTGTTATCACGAAATCTTAATATGAATACACTTTAGTTCACATTTTCAATTTTGTAAGCTTTCTCTCCCTTTCGCTCTCCCTCTTTCTCTCTCGCACACACACACACCAAGAGAAACCTCTTAGAATGTGAATAGTTTTTTTTTTCTACTGGTATATTGTTATGGTAAGAATTATTTTGTTGTCTTCCATTCTGAAAGGAAAAGATTTACTATAGCTGTGGTAGTTAACTATTGATATTCTCTTGGAAGTTGATTTTCTGATATAATTTACTCATTGACTTTTAAAGTTTATTGACCTAAATTCCCTTTTCCTTCTTTATCCTGTACCATACTCCCACAATCGTATTCACTTAGCCTTTGTCATAAGGTTCTGTGCTGCAGCTCCTACAGTAGAAGCTCCTGTGGTTTAAGAGAAAGTTCAGTGTTTGTCAGTGTCAAGTGCTACTTGATTATTTGTCTAGAACAGTATCTACTTAAAGCTGTTTATAGTGATCCCTTTTTTGTTAAAATGTACAAAAGGTAGCTTTTTTTTTTTTTTACTTTAAATTCAGTCTCCATCAGTGACTTCCTAAAAAGAAGAATTTAGAAATTGAAAATTTTTTAAAGCCCAGATGCTCCAGTTTTTATTTAAAGTCAAAATTGCTAATCTGGAAAATATTATAAGTAATATTGTACATAATGTCACTTATAATATTTGTAAATTTATATACAGACACTGAATAGTGTAAGTAGGACATAAAATCACGTTACATGTTTAAATGTGTAGCTGAAACTACTGACAACTGAATATTATGGAGACAAAATAAAGAATGAAACCCTAGTTATCAAGTTGGTTATAGTTTTCTAGAAGCTTTGTAAATACTTGTTTTCAAATAAGATCACAGTTGGGTATATAGAAAGCAATGTGTTCTGAAATTTCACTTCAGTGCCGCTCTTTTCTTAATAATGGGTTTATTGCCAATTTTGACTCACCTTACGGTGATCTGGCTTTTTTTCCCCCTAAGTGTGTAAGAGAGTGTAAGAATGTATATGAGTACAATTATTGTCTTCTTTTGGCTCTTTCCCATAGAAATAAACTAAGAATAGTCTTAATCTGTGTTTTTCAGATCTGGTTATAAATCAGATATAGATTGTGTTTTAAGAGCAGTGTCTGATTGAAATATAAATAATGGTTTCTATAACTCATTATTTTGTGGTAGCCAAAACAACTAAAAAAGTCATGTTGTTAACTGTTGGGTACCGGGTAGGTTTTAGTTTCTTAGTGCAAGTCTTCTATTTCTTTTAAATGTTACACAGTTATTTCAGTTTTCACCCACTAAAGAGTCTACTAGAATGTAGCCCCAGAATGCCTGAGGAGCATACTTGCAGTATGTATTTCAAAAAGATTCCAGTTTAAACGAGTCAATGAAAATACCAGATTTTTTTTTCAAAGCTTAGTTTGCTTGCTAAATTTGGGTTTAGTGAAGTTTAAGAGCAATTGTTTAACATATTATAGCAAGTCACAGGGATATTCCTTTAAATGAAAAAAGACTGTAAATTTAATGTAAATATTACCTAATTTTATTTACTAAAAGAGAGTTAAAGAAGGGAAATTTTCTGACAGTAAGCTACATTTGAACAAAGCATGAAACTCTTTTTTAAAATTAAAGAATAATTGAACTTACCATCTGATTGACGTCCACATTATATGTTGATATTAATATCCAATCCTTATGTTTTCAAAGAGCAAGTTTCCATATAAATCAGATTATTAGGAATTTTATAAAACTACATAGAGGTAAATATTGCTTTAAATATGAGTACAGTTTGTTAGTTGCAGGAAGTTTTCTAATTCATTCGGGCCATTTTCTTGCATTTTGATTTATCCTGAGATAAACTCAGAACATATTGACAGTGGGTGGTTAAATGTGAAGTGTCCTTTATTCTTTCTTAGATATTTTCTAAGGTAAAAAAATTCTAGCATGCCAATATTTTGTCTTTGGCCCATTCCCCTTTGTTTCTGAAGTTTGTAGCTTCTGATCTTTTTCTTTGCTACAACATACTGTGAGGAACATTATGGTAGTTACATTATCTGTGTTATTGTCCACTTTCCTTCTCTACCCAGATCTTTTCATTCTGAAACTAAATTGTTACTTGGTTTTCTTTACAGGAAATTGCTACTTGGTATGCTCCTAGTAGTGATCCTTATTCAGGAACAGCTGGTAAAATTTTTTTGGTAATAACTTACCCAGACAATACTTCGAATACCATATTCTGTGAATGCTGTGCTTAAGCTAAGAAACTGGATGTTCTTTTCAAATCACAGAATTCCTGTATTATATGAATGGGAAATACCTTGTCTTTCTCTATGGAAAGTAAAAGGCATCAATGAAAACCAGATACGTTAATGTTGAGTTTTATTGAAAATGCAACATTACCATACTTAGGGGAGTTGGCAGATATTTTCAGATATTTAAGCCATCATTAATTTTAGACCAAGAGCTAATAATAAGATAGATTGTTGGTTGCTTGTTTATAGAGAGGCAAAGGGTGGCATGGCATAAACTCACATCCCAGAAATAAATGAAATTTTAGAAAGTGATATTATAGTATCTGTTAACCAGCCTTGTGCTTCTTAACTCTGCCCTGGACTGTGAGGCACCTTTCAGGACCCCGAGTCTTAGAATCAGAAGTGATTAATTTCTTCTGTTACTAAATTCTCATGACTTCCTTTTTGATTTGGTATGCTGAGATTGATAAATACTGATGATTTATATTTATAAACTTAGAGTTCTATCAGTATCCTGTTACCAGTGAATCTGGTGCCAGCATCTTGAAAAGCTTTCATTATTAGTCAAAAGCATTTTGAGCATCTGTGTGCATGTAATACAGTTAGCAGACCCTACAGAGAGATACAAAAGAGATTTTGGAACTGGATGATGATATTGATCTGTAGTATAGCAGTCCATTACATTTTATTGCTTTGCAATGACTATATGAGTTTCCTTATTTGAAAATCATGATAATGATAGATATTTACCTCTACTGCTCTGTTCATGGTTTCCTCAACTCTTCTGTAATACTTTATAATTTCCTCTGTTAGAAAATATTTTCCTAGTAAATAAGGTATCAAAAGCATCAATCACAAGAAATATAGAAAATATGTTAGGAACAACTTGTATTAGTATGTTCTAAACTAAAATGGTACAATTCATTATTGATATTTTAATAAATAAGACTTCAAAATGATCTTGCCAAATTATCCCATTATGGAGAAGTAGAAAATAAGAGAAGAATGTTCTCAAGGAACTTTATCATATCCACCCTTATGTCTAGAAGTTGACAGTGCATTACAATAAAATAGAATTACCTGAATGCTGAAAGGTTACCATGAATTAACTGATCACAGTTTATTTCTGTATACAGAAAAAATTGAATTTTTTCAGTTCAACCCATTACCACAAAAATTGGATCTAAAAATATTAGTTGAAATTCTGCAATAGCTTAATAAACCACTGTTTGTAGTGGTAATGGACAAAGAGGCCTTTTTACCATAACCGTTAGGAAAGATGTACTCTGAAATTTCTAATGTAAAACCTATTTTGTAAATTTGTAATTGAAATATTACTGGAGAGCTATTAAGTTTTGGGGAGGGATGGTCTGCCAGTGCACAATCATAACTTAAAATTTAGATTGTATTTTAGTAACATTCCATTATGTTTTTAAAAGGAGAGTTATTAGTCTTTGGAGCACAATTTTCATGATGGAAGAGGTATTGAATTTTGTAGCATAATGGTTAACCACACGAGTCCTGGAGCCAGACTGCCTAGTTTTGCCATCTCCTTGACATTGGACGAGATACTTCTTTCTCTGTGCCTCGCGTTTGCCTATAAAAAGAGGTAATACTTCTGCCTACCTCAGGGTTGTTGTGAGGATTAAATGGGAAAGTACATGTATGCACCAGGCACAGAGTAAGCACTTAATTAATGTTAGTAGTTTTTATAAACAATAAATATATTTGTGCCCATCTATAAATAAATTTTGTTATTCTCTTCATTCATGATGTGTAGGAGTAATTCATAAACCTTAACTGATATGTTGAAGAAACCTAAGTATTCCAGAGGACAGTGCAGATTCTGATCTTGCTCTGGCTGAAATCTAGAGATTTATTATTTCAGCAATTATATATTAAGCACTGCTTGGTTCTGTGGGCTGTTAAGGAGCCAAGAATACAGAAATCAAGGAAAACTGACCTCTAGGAATTTAATCTTTAGTGGGTGAAGCAAATAAGGAGTAATAAATACTGTGATAGCCATTAGTACACACAAAGGCTGTTGTGGAGGTAATGAGAAGGATCATTAAACTCAGACTAGGGAAGAGAATGACTAAGCCTTTAAGAAGAAATAATCATAGCTCTAGGGATATGGATAAAAGGACATGTGGAGCAGGAGGCTGGGAATGGGATTCCCAGGCAGAAAGCTTAGCATATACAAGCATGGCACTCTTGGAGGGTTGCTATGTCTAGAGAGGTAAGCAGGTGACAAATCATGAAGAGATGTATGTGCCAAACTATGATTGAAGGATTTTAAGCAGGAAAAAGACAATCAGATTTACCCTTCAGGTTAGAGACGAATGGGACTAGAGGCAGAGAGACCTGTAGAAAATTTGTAGTAATTCAGGCAAGATGATGAGGGGCAAAACTAAAGCAATGACAATAGGGAAAGCAAAGATGGAAGAACTTAACTCACCTTGGTAGTCATTTAGATGTAAGGGATGACAGATAAGACCAAGACAACTCCCAGCTGTACTTTTTCCACATCTTGAAGGGTG